GAAGCTGCCCACAGCCTCTGCAGTGCCAGTTCAATCCCCAGCTGCAGGCGAGGGTCCCACATGGCACACAGACCTCTCCTGCCACCCGCTGCTCCCCTCAGCAGTGTATTTCGTCAGTCTGCCTGTTCTGTTTCCCACTCTGGCTCTGGTGAATTCTCTCACGCTCCTGCTCTTCTGACTGTACCCAGTGCTTGTATAAATAAATAAATAAATCTTTAAAAAAAAATAGAGATATAGATTTTCAAAGACTAAATTAGCAGGCTAAAAGTACTTGAGAACCTGCAAAATCAATGAGTATTAATGAATCTACAGAACATTTTTTTTGGTGGTAGTAAAACTCTTGTAGTTAATTCTTTTTGTTGACAGAAAAGCATTTCTTAAGCAATATTTATGATGTAAACAAAAAGGCTCGGGGTTATTTTGCAAACTTGAGGAAATTGAAATGAAGGCCTGTAAGGAAAATGTTTATTCCTATTCTGTATATCTGAAACAATGATTTCAGATGATTCTACTATTATCCTTTATAAAAATCTCTATAGATTATTCATATAGTAATTTAATATTTTAGCTACTGCTTTGTATGTCCATAATCTGTTGCTAGGCTTTTCATAGAAACAGATCTACTCCATGCTTGTCTTTTGTCATATTGGCCTGGGGTGGAGACATGTTCCCCCATTTTTAGTGGATGACAGTGGGCCTTTTCAGAAGGAGTAGTGAGGAAGTGTTGAAATTGATGTATACCAAGCACAGACAAATGGAAAGGTGAAAATATGGAGATGCTTTGATGGAAGTAAATGAAAGAGAAGATGGGTGGGGTTTAGGGAATCAAAAGTTTGCACACTGAGAGGATGCTTCTGTCATGTGGAACTCCATACTCAGGGGGTGGGGGCTTATATTAATCATGGCAGAGAATAAAAATAGCTCTCATCCAGGTTTTATGTTCATAAACAGTGCAGATCATCTTAAAATTATTATATAATATTTACTTGTGACACTGATTCTCCAGCTTTAACATGCATTCAAATGCACCTGAGGATCTTATTACAATGCAGATTCTTACTGGTAGGTCTGGGCTGGAGCCTGTGTTTCTTCCTAACAAGCTCCCAGGTGCTACCAAATGCATGTGATCAGTGACATCACTTAGAAGTTTAAGAACGTAATGCTTTAGCTCAATATGCTTTTAACAACCAAGTTTAGTGGGACAGAAGAACTGCCATCAGAGTAGTTATTCTTAACTTGACTTCTACAGTTGATTCTCTGCGGAGTGTTTACAAAATAAGTATGTCCAGGTCCCTCCAAAACCAAATATTCAGAATTTCTGGAGCAATCCTAGGCATCATATTTTTACTAATACTTCCCAAATAGTTCTAAAGGTGCAGCCTTGGATGGGAACAACTAACTTAAAACTAAGGCCGCCTTTGCAACTACAACTATCATATATGTGTTAGTTTCAGGATGGCAAAAAGGAAAAGTCAAAGTTTAATCAAGTAGCTTAAAATAAGTCAACCTAATATAGGAACCTATGAAACTTATTTTAAGCGTGTGTCCTGATCTATAATCATCATTACCAGTGAAGAGATTCTCTAAATAGATTTATTTTAGAGAAAAGAAAAAAAAGAATAGGTGAGCTTCAACACTATGTCTGCAGGGTATTATTCATACCAGAATATGGTTTCAGATGAGGGTGTACAGTCCCTTGGAGGCTCAGCGCCATTTACACACAGGCGAGCATGAGGATACCTGCAAGGTGGTCCTTCCCCAAGCAAGCTGATGACATCACATGTTACATGGTGCAAACACTGATGCTCAGTCACAATATCCAGTCTTGCATCCTGGTTCTTTGCATCATTTCCTAATGGTGTGACTTATGCAAAGCTAGTGACCTTCTCTCTATATCAGTTTCCTTACCTGTAAAATATGGATAACAATATTCCCTACTTCACAGTATCATTATGCAGGCTATATGATGTAATACAGCTCTTAGAGAAATGAAAATAAACAAATGAGACTACATCAAAAAATAAAGCTTCTCTCAGCAATAATAGGCCAGTGATAGTTTGTGAACTACAATCACTGAAACAAAAAGACATGCTACTGGATGGGAGAAAATATTTGCACATCATACATCTGACAAGGGGCTGACAGATCTAAGATATACAAAGAACTCATAGAATGCAACAAAAAGAAATAACCAAGTCAAAATGGGCAGAAAAGGACATACTGCTCCAAAGAAGACACACAGATGGCTAACAGACACATCACCATCAATGTTCTTACTCAGGAAATGCACAAAACCACAATGAGATTACCATCTCACCCCCATGGGAATGGTCCAGATCAAAACAACAGAAACAACAAGTGTTGGCGAGGATATAGAGGCAAAGGAAATTGTTGGTGGGGATGTAGACTGGTCTAGCCTCTATGGTTTGATTTACACTGTAAGTAGATGACCATGTATATGGATAAGCTCTTAGAATAGTGTCTGGCATAGAGTAAGTGCTAAATAACTATTAGGTACAGCTACAGAACAGTGTCTTTGAGTTTTTATATTTCTCTCTTGCCACACCTGACACTGTGGTTTGGCTCCATTTGTGACCTTCACATTGACCTTCTACTAGGAGCTCTTTCCAGCCAGGGGAGCTCAGGGGGCTGCAAGTGGGACATGTAGAAGGAGAAAACTGGTTACTGTTCTCTCCGAGAGGTGGCCCAATTAATGGCTCCTCCTTTCAAGGTCCCTGCCAGATGAACAGTAAGTGGAAATCTGTCCACCATCATCCAACCAAAGCTCCATAACAGCAGCTGCTAACAATGAGTATGTGCTGCGTGGCTGGACCTGCACTAAAAGCCTTTCAAGCAGATTCTATTTTTCTTGTGTAATCAGTGCAAACTCACTGAGATAGGCACCATTAGCTCTGCTTTTACAGAGAACAAACATGAGGCCCAGCGAGGCATCCAAGGCCAACAGTGCTTTTCTTCCAAAAAATTAAATTTTATTTTTCCTTATAGATTTTGCTTGAGACCATTGGTTCTGAAGTTCTCCGTACCTGGACTGGCCTGTTGAGTCTTTACTCTGGCCTCCAGACACCCCCAGTGCACACCTTGATGTGGGTGGACCACAGCTGAGTGTGTCCATCACTGAGGAACTACATCTTGAGTCTTTCAGATTTTCATTCAAAACCTGACTCCTGTGAGGATGATAAAGGCAATCTATTCCTCCCCCCAGGGGGCAGCCTGGGAGTCCCTGGTAGCACTCCCACTTTGGACCCACCAACAACTTATGGTCCCCCCACCCCCAGCTTGGCAGCAGCGGGGACAGTTTGGCAGTGACATGCTATATTTCCCCTCTCATCCTTCACATGGCAAAGCCTGACAGGTTTCTTCTATGCCAATCCGGTGTCTGGTTATGAGAAACTATATATATCATTTTAAAAGCAAACCTGTATGAAGTACTCAAACTACTCAAATTCAGAGAAACAGAGCAGAATGGGGCCTGCCAGGGGCTTACTGGGGGACTGGAATGAAGAGTTACTATTCAACAGCTAGACAGCTTCAGGTCTGCAAGAGGCACAGGCTCTGCAAGGAGCTGTGCTATACCGAGCCTGTGGTCAACATTACCATGTTGTGTACTTAAAAATGTGATACAGGGTACAGCCCATGTTGTGTTCTCAGCACAAACAAACAACAACAACAACATAGGAAATCTACCTACAAATATAAGAGCACCCACAGGTATCTCATAAAACTCAATTTAAAAAATACTGCTAGCTACTCTATTTCTTTACTTATATCAAGTAAAATATGGAAAAGTGTTGGTTCTATCAACATAAACACTCACCAGAGAATTCATTTATATTATAGTGAGAATGAGAAGTCAGCTAATTGCTTTTTCTTTTGATAGACACATAAAAATGTCCTATGTGCTCAAACATAATTTTTCCTCAATTTTCACTCTTTGATGCCACACAATACCTTGAAAAGCATCCGATTTCTAACTCAATAAATATACAACCTATGATAATGTTAACTATTTGAAGTAATGGATGTGTTAATGAGCTGTGGTGATTGCTTCACGATGTGTATATGTAAATCAAAACAACAAGTTTTATGCTTAAATATATATTTCCCAGTCATTTATACCCAAAAATGATGAGAAAAAGAAACTGTACTCAAAGCGCTTACCATCCTACTTGGCACATTCAATAAACGGTAATTATTACTGTAAAGAAAACACACCAAAAACTATTCTAGAGCGCTGTAGTTATACTTTCTCTTTTCCTATGATGACAAAATTCAGAAAATCATTGCCTTTCTGAGGTCTGAAGGGATACCCTTGTCAAAATATGAATCCTGAAGATATTTTCAAGAATATGAAGGAAAATTATTCCAAGCATAATAAAGTAGTTTTGGAGAGATAATAGTTCCAAAGGCACAGCCACACAAGCAGAAAGCCAAGTTTTCTGTGGACACAGTCTTGTGAGGGCTGGAAGGCACCTATCACTCTAGTCTGCAAATGCAGATGGAAAAAAGAAGCCTTTCTAGTGACAGTTACAAATGCATTCTTCAGGGTTAAGGAGATGGGGATGAAATTTAACCCAGACACATCTCTCTAAATCTTGTGCTTGGTTTCTCAAAAACCATTTTCTAACATCAACTGCTTTTCACTTAATCTTAGAATAAAAATATACCAAGAAAGCAACACACAGAGGATACCTAGGTACAGCAACACAGGGAGACCCAGTACTGTTATTCCCACGATTGAAGCCCCCAATTATGCAAACCAAAGCATGCAGAGCATTATGACTGAGAAACAAAGACTCTAGACCCTGCTTCCACAGATCAATTCCTTCATGGAAATCCCCCACAGTAGCCATCAGAGAAGGACTCGCCCTAGTGCTGGGGCTCAGCTCCACCCCAAATTTATCCCAGAGGCGGGGTAAAGCAGCCATAGCAGACAGCACAGACACAAGCAGCACTGGGGGACAGGGAGCAAGGGTACTCACCTCTGCGATCTTCAGCACTGCGCTCCCGTTCAGGTCAAAGGTCGGGGTGTAGGTGATGCAGAGTAAAACCTTTACAACCAGGAAGGAGGGGGAAGAGAAAGGGCTTTAAACATTTAGAAATTACTTTCCACGTCACCTGCATTTGTGCAGTCCAGTTATGATACCTTTGCTCTTTGCTTTTTCTGTTTCTTTCCATTTTACCCATTGCTCTCCACTGACCACACATCGCCCAAGGAAATACTTTAAAAAGTAAAGATGGTTAACTTCCCCCCAAGGGAAGGATTTGGTCCTTGAAAGACTGGTCTGAACAAAATTCCTCAAAGACTGCAGGGGGTCTGTTCAATAATAAAGGAAACCAACCAGCCAGGCTCAGTGCCAGACAATGAACATGAATTATCCAAATTGATATTTTTAATAAGTGCGATTATAACTGCACTCATCTTACTGAGAAGGAAAGCTTAAGTTCAGAACAATTAAATATGCTGCCCAAGGCCACAGAGGTAACAAACTGTGGAGCTGAGAACTGAATCCAAATAATTAGACTCCATGCCCTGAACCACCCGCAATACTCTCTCCTCCTAGACGCATGTGTCACTGCTCTTTTCTATCCCTTCCCCTTCTCAAATCCCCATGAGACGAGAAATTCTCTTGTGGACTTAGACTTCTGAAGACAGCAGAATGTCTATCTTGAGGATGGGGTAGTGAGCACAAAAAAAAAAAAAAAAAAACAGACTTTCAGAAGACATTTTCTTATCTAAATTCAAAATGTGGAAGCTGAAGATATGCAATTTTTTTTTCATGTCAATCAAAGTTTCTCAACCTCAGCATTTAGACATTTACTGACATTTTTGGCCAAATAATCTTTTGGAGGGTGCGGTAGGGTGGATTTATTTTCCTCTTCCTTCCTGGAATTTCCTTCAGAACATTGCCCAGGTTTAAATATTCATTAGTCTCAGATTCCCCTTATTCTTCAAGATATAGAGACAAAGAGTCAATGACATTTGCGAGACCTCTAAGGATCCTTAAAATTGCACTTCTACTTGTAAAGCTTATCAAAGCAAGCCCGTGGCATTTTAAGAATTGCTTCTAATTTTGGAGATGAGGCCAGAGACTCCCCTTTCCTGTGAGGCTGTGACTTCTCCTGCTGGATGTCCCAGACATAAAGCACCCATGTGGCTGTTATAGGGCAGGGAGAGGGGCACCCCAGACCGTGCAATCCTGCCTGCTCTAAATAGGTTCTGCCATCCACTGCATCAACACAAAACATACGAGACTTTAATGGGAAGGAACTTTAATACAATTAGGAAACAATACAGGAAAGGCAAAGAATACAGTTTCTAAATCAAGCACCCAAAGTTACCATCCCCTCATGGGCAAAAGTCCACCCAAGCAGGATTGGCCCAGAACAAGGCCCCAAAGCCTGCCACAAGTCTAAAGCACTTTCCGATGGGGACCCAGACAGAAAAGAATCATAAACAACCAGACAAGTCTGGAAGGAAAAGAGCAAAATCAAAATCAAGACAAAAACCACCATTGTCACCTCCCCACGGGTCTCTCACCCACATCTGAGTTACCCAGTCCACAACCAAAAGGCAAGCGCAGTTTCTTTACATGTCTCTTGGCTCCACATGCCTCCTCTAGGTCTCCTTCTGGCTCTGCATCCTGCTTCCTTCCTTCCTCAGTCTCCTCTGCAGCTTCTTCTCTCCCTGCTCAGCTCCCCCCTCCTCTGGGTGGGGCAGGAAACCTAGAACCTTCCCCTTTCCTGGGGACTACCCTGTTACAGCTCCACAATCCCAAACCCAACTGCCTGCAGCTAGGCAGCACTGGTAGCCTTCTGAGGACCGTCCCCACGTGATCCTGCTCAGTCCATGAAGAGCGCAGAGACCTCGCCATCATGCCCAATGCAGGAGGATGTACACCTACCCCCCACGCCCAAAGGAACAATGGTCACATGAGACAAGGAATCTCTCCCAGTCTTTCAGTCTGAGTTGTTAGCCAAGCCAGCCCTAACAATAACTACCTGCTCCTTGGAGAAAGCAAGCATTATGTATTTCAAAAAATAAAGGGATTAGTTGCCAATTTTATTTTATTTTTAGATTTATTTATTTATTTATACATGCACTGGGTACAGTCAGAAGCAAGGGAGGGTGAGAGAATTCACCAGAGCCAGAGCGGGGAGCAGAGCAGGCAGAAGGACCGAAGTACACTGCTGAGGGGAGCAGCGGGCGGCAGGAGAGGTCTGCGCGCTATGTGGGACCCTCCTCCGGTGGCCGGGGAGCAGCCGGGGATCGAACCGGCGCTGCAGAGGCTTCGGGCAGCTTCACAACCCAGCACTCAACCGCTGCGCCACCGGGGAGGCCCCCTTAGTTGCCAATTTTAGCCAAAAGGTTAGATAAGTTAACTGTGAGTCTGCTCCTTGGTCTTCTGATCATGAAGGTGCCTGATATTCAAGAGCGGGCTCCAGTTAACAATCACCTCGATGTCAGGCTGCCTGATAATTTATGGGACACTGCCCTGTGGGCTAACAGGAAAAGGATATTTTGTTTTTCAGTCACTATCTGTGGAGGCCAGGGTCTGGTAAGTTTGGGGAAAGTCCACGTCTTCTAATGTCTGTGTATTTATGGGCACCTGTACCTGAAGCCCTCCTGTCCTTGGTTCCTCCCCTGCCTGCTACTCAGGTTGTTCATTTGGCGGGCTTCTTTCAGGCTTCAACTCAAATGTCACTCCCTCAGAGAGGCATGAGGCCTTCCCTGATCGCCCTTCCTATAAAATGTCTCACATCTCCTTGTTCAGACGAGTATTTACTCAGAGCATGCACCAGTCTCAAAACTACTGGCTTATTTACTGATTTATAATCTTCCCATTACACTATGGCATCTAATAAGCATCTAAAGGCCCCTGAGCTTTCTTTTATGATGCTTTCTTACTCGGACATTTTGCTTCCTCACACAGCTTCCCTGTCTTGAATTAAAAAAAAAAAAAAAAATTTTTTTTTTTGTTCTGGATTTTCATGAGTTTTTTCTTTTAAGGATTTTATTTATACATACAAGAACTGGGGTACAGACCAGAGGTGTGGGGGGGGGGGTGAGAGGATTTGCCAGAGAGAATGGAGAGCAGAGCAGGCAGATCTACTGAAATACACTGCTGAGAGGAGCAGCGGGCGAGACAGTGAGGTCTGCTGCATCACGTGCGTTGTTCCCTGGCAGGGGCTCGAACTCATGCTGCTGTGGCTGCCAAATAGCTTGATAGTGCTGTCTTTAACCCCTATGTCACCAGGGAGCAACCCCCCCCTTTTTTAACATCGATATATCATGGCAGGTGGGTGAGAGGGTATCAGAGAGTGGCTGGAGGAGGCGGAGTTTTGCAGAGGTGATTAATCAGATGGTCCATCTGGGTTCTTGGTCTTTTAAGGATTTACAGTGAAGACAGGCAGCTGACAGCCTGACAATATGAATACAATGGTGGTAAATATTTGTATGAATTGGTTAATTATTGTTACTTAAAAGACTGACAATCAGGGCCTCCCCCGGTGGCGCAGCGGTTGAGCACTGGCTTGCGAAGCTGCCCGCAGCCTCTGCAGCGCTGGTTCTATCCCCGGCTGCTCCCCGGCCACTGAAGGGGGGTCCCACATAGCGCACAGACCTCTCCTGCCACCCGCTGCTCCCCTCAGCAGTGTATTTCCGTCCTTCTGCCTGCTCTGCTCCCAGCTCTGGCTCTGGTGAATTCTCTCACCCTCCGGCACTTCTGACTGTGCCCCAGTGCTTGTATAAATAAACAAACAAATAAATAAATAAATAGATTCATTTAAAAAAAAAAAAAAAGACTGACAATCAACTTTCTGTCTCCCATTGTTCCACACATTCATGCTAGGAATGCAAGAGTAAGTTTGGAAAGAGGTTTTCAAAAAGCAAGCCAGTTTTCAGTAGGCTCTCAGAGCTGCTGTTGTGAGTAATGGCTGGTGGAGGTGGGAATGGTGCCTGCGGTGAAGTCTTGGTGAAGGGCACTAAGTAGGTGGTATTTGGTCATTGACCTTCCAGGTGAAGAGAGGAGACTCAGCTCCCTCTACCACAGGAAAGCCCAGCAAATGTAGAGGGAGGCCTCTCAGCAATAGCCTGAAGGAAGTGAAGGATCCCTGCACCTAGCTCAAGCTGATTCTGTTCAAAAGACCTTTTGTTAGTGTGGAACCAAGCATAAGTATTCTTAGCCATTGCTTTGTCATTTTGTGTGTAACTGCCATTTTAGAATTTCAGGTCTTGCAGGACTTGCTGTTCCGGGAAAAGACTGCATTCCAGAGACAGTTTGGACCCTCACTCCACCCTTACTCTCATAAGCATTAATTTGCTGTATAAAACACAAGACTGTTGTGGGAAACTTAGGATAACAGCAAATTAATTGAAAGTGTCAACTGCATACGAGGTTAAAAAGTTTAGATTCACATTCTGAGCACGTTAGCCTCAAGGAAAACATGGAGGGCAATTGCATTAAAAATTCATCCCTAGCAGGGTCCTTAAAGCATATTGACTAAATTATCACCAAACAGCAGGAGGACAGGCAGCATCTCAAAATCTAGCTTGCTGGCACTGCCTCCATAAATGAGCTAAGAGGATAGAGAAAATATGCAGAAAGACTTCCATGAAAAGGAACAGCCATTAAAAAGGATAACAAAACTCTCAATCATTAAAAATCATTAACTAAACAGTTACCACATACAAGAAGCAACCCTCCATTTAAAATGGGAATAAAAACCCTGATAAAAAATAAAGTTAGACTAGAAAGTGAAGCTGACTTACTGCAAGAATTGGGCACACGTGATAAGAATCTGGAACAGAGGATAGGGGTGGCAAGATGATAAGTTCTAGATCACAGGTGTGTGCTTCTGTCCAAGAATGTCCTGGAATTCCAGGATTACTGGGATTATAGTCAGTTGTGATGCATTTCATGGGGGAGTATGTCAGGGTCTAACACATAGTTCACGAGCTGTAACCTTTTCCTGTATTCACAGCACTTGAAATTTAACAAGTTGCAACACACATAACTAATCAATTAAACTGAGGGAGGAAAACAAGGAT